GACGAATAAGAAGAATAATAATAATAAGAAGAATACGCATAATAAGAAACATAAGAAGAAGAAGCAGAAGAAAAAGCAGAAGAAGAAGACAAATAATAATACTAAGAATAATAATAATAAGAAGAATAATAAGAAGAATAATCATAAGAAGAATACGAAGAAGAAGAATACGAATAATAAGAAGAATAATAAGAAGAATAATAATAATAAGAACAATAATACTAATAAGAAGAATAAGACGAAGACGAAGACGAATACGAAGAAGAAGAAGAAGAAGAATAATAAGAATAATAATAAGAAGAATAAGAAGAAGAAGGAGGAGGAGGAGGAGGAGGAGGAGGGAGGAGGACCCGTTCTCCTCAGCACCCGTTCCCCCCATGCTGACCTTTAGTCGGGCCTGTCCAAAAAATAGTCAAACACAAATATGGGGATTCTTTATTCCCAACCAACTTGTGGTGCGGGGTCCTCGTTTTGAAGAGACAGCGCCCCGCGTCCCGCCTTCCTCCTTCCTCCTTTCTCCTCCTCCCCCTCCCCCCTCCTCCCCCCTCCCCCCCCCCCCTCCTCCTTCCTCCCCCTCCTTGCTTCGTTCCGTAGCCCCGTAGGAGCTCCACCGAAGGCCCAGTGGGGGTGCCCGCATGCGGTTCCCCCACCCAGGGCAGCGTTCCGTGGGCCCCCATAGGGAAGCTCCACCGCAGGCCCCCCCAGTGGGGGTGCCCGCATGCGGTTTCCCCCACCCAGGGCAGCAGCGTTTCGTGGCCCCACAGGGAGCTCCACCGAAGGCCCCAGTGGGGGTGCCCGCATGCGGTTCCCCCACCCAGTGCAGCGTTTCGTAGTCCCATAGGGAGTTCCACCGCAGGCCCCAGTGGGGGTGCCCGCATGCGGGTCCCCCACCCAGGGCAGCGCTTCGTGGCCCCATAGGAAGCTCCACCGAAGGCCCCAGTGGGGGTGCCCGCATGCTGTTCCCCCGCCCAGGGCAGCGTTTCGTGGCCCCACAGGGAGCTCCACCGCAGGCCCCAGTGGGGGTGCCCGCATGCGGTTCTCCCACCCAGGGCAGCGCTTCGTGGCCCCATGGGGAGCTCCACCGAAGGCCCCAGTGGGGGTGCCCGCATGCGGTTCCCCCGCCCAGGGCAACGTTTCGTGGCCCCACTGGGAGCTCAACCGCAGGCCCCAGTGGGGGTGCCCGCATGCGGTTCCCCCACCCAGGGCAGCGTTTCTTGGCCCCACAGGGTGCCACAGGGATCTCCACCGTAGGCACCAGTGGGGGTGCCCGCATGCGGTTCCCCCACCCAGGGCAGCGTTTCGTGGCCCCACAGGGAGCTCCACCGAAGGCCCCAGTGGGGGTGCCCGCATGCAGTTCCCCCACCCAGGGCAGCCTTTCGTGGCCCCACAGGGAGCTCCACTGTAGGCCCCAGTGGGGGTGCCTGCATGCGGTTCCCCCACCCAGGGCAGCGCTTCGTGGCCCCATAGGGAGCTCCACCGAAGGCCCCAGTGGGGGGGCCCGCATGCGGTTCCCCACCACCACCACCGTGGCAGGCCCCTCACACAGTTCGTGGCCCCATAAGGAGCTCCACCGAGGACTATATTCACAACTGCGGTACTCACAACTGCATATGGTTGGGTCCTTCGCCAGGCTGATTGCTATTCTTGGGAGCATTTTGGGAGTATTTTTCGGCATGTCTCATTTTCCGCCCAAAATCCCCTTGCAGGGGGACAGGCCCGACGTAATGCTCACCTGAGGCACCAGCTGGAAGAGCCCCGGAGTGCAAGCCCTGCCAGGGGAGCTTCCGGAGGCACGCGCGGACTGCTCGGATCTGCGCTGGGGCCCCGCCCCGGTGCGCTCCCGCGCGCCGGGGAAGGGGCTCCAGCGCCGATCCAAGTGGGGTCTGGGGTGGGCTCCTCCTCCTCCTCTCCTCCTCCCCTCCCCTCCTCCTCCCCCCCTCCTCTTCTTCTCCTCCTCCTCCCCCTCCCCCCCTCCTCCTCCTTCCTCCTCTCCCTCCTCCTCCTCCTCCTCCTCTCCTCCTCCTCCTCCTCCTCCTCCTCCGCCAGTTCGGGAAGCAAGGACTCCCGACCCACCTCACACACCTTGCGCCTCGCGGCCGCCAGACCCACAGCGTGCCAGTGCTCCCTGGATGTTCCGCCTCGCCCTTCCTGGGCGGGGATCGCCCGAGGCAAACAAACACGTCCGTGCCGCTGTCTCTCTTCCCGAGGAGGGCATGGTGCCGCTCAGCCGCCTGCCGCACCCTGTGCTCGCCGTGGCCCAGCCTCGGGGAACAAACGCTGGCGTGCACACAAACTTGCGCAGCTCCGCGCGGCTTTCTCGGATCGGCGCTTGAGCCCCCCTGGCGGCGCCTCCGTCGTCTCCCCTGGCGCGCCCCGCGCGCCCGGGAGGGTCGGTATCGTTTCACCGATCCCCATCCCCATCCCCATCCCCATCCCCATCCCCATCCAGACCCCCAGCACCCTTGCACCCCAGTTGGGGACACACAACTCGCAACCCGACGGGAACGGCCTATATCCCCATCTAGGGGGTCTATCGGCCATTGGGGCCCAGGCCATGTTCATGGGGATAGGGGTCGGTTAAACGATGCCCACGGCGGATCGGCGCCGATCCAAACAATCCGCGCCGACCTCCAACAAGTTTCTGTTCATGGCACACTTTGTTCCTCGTGCAGCCGCTGGTGGAGGCGTGCTCCTCTGGCCTGGTCGATGCCCTGGCCGACGCGCCCGCCCAGCCCCCGGACGACCCCGCGGCTCTCGAGGTGCTCGTCCGGTGCCGCCTGGGTCTCGCCGTCGTCGCCGCGCTGGAGGCGCTGCTTCGGCGCGCCGTCGTGGAGGATCGGCATCGTCTGGCCTTCGGGGCCCCCTCGAACGGCTCGAGGGAGGATGGGCTCGACGGGGGTTGACGGGTTCGAGGTGCCGATTTTCTGGTGTTTTCGTCGCCTCTCGGCGGTTTCCCAAACTCGGGGTGCCTTCCAGCCGTTGCGCCTCGCCGAGGGCCTTCCCGGGGAGCTCTGATCGTCCCAGCGCCGCCAGAGGCCCGAGCTGTACACCTTAGGCGATGCTTAAGAAAACTTAAGTTTTCGGCCAGAGTCTCGATTATTCTTAACGTTTCAATGTACATCTTGAGATTTTAATGGAAACGATGGGTTTTTATTCAAGTTCTGAGATCATGAATTTCTTAACCCATGATTTCCTAAGCATTTCGCAGGGTGTAGCCTGAACACCCAGTCGACCTCCCCAAATGGTGCTGGTGTTGTGACCAATCGCGCGGTGAGTCCATGGGGATTCGGGGTCACCGCACGGTGTTGGAACTCGGGTCGTTTTCCGAGGACGTCTCGGGCGATCCGGGCCTCCGAGTTCCCAAGATTGTGCGGTGACGGACCGCGCGGTGAGGTAGTTGGGGATTCCGAGGCCACCCGCGATCCGCCACCCCACACAGGCTTGGGGCCCCCGAAATCGAACCTATCCCCATCCCCGTTGGGCCGTGGCATCTGGAACCCCACGAGCCCACCCCCCTCGACTGGGATGTTTCCCTTGTTCCTGGGGTGGACACGTCGGGCAGTGGGGCAAAGGCCACGCCGGTGGAGACAGGGATCGGTGAAACGATGCTAAAAACTCTGACCCCCGACGTCATTTATCTTTTTATGCCAAAAGATAACGCCGACCCCCAGAGGTCTCGACCCATTCCCCAGGACCGGTGGTCCATCCCGAGCCGTTTTACTGACGGCCCCGAGCGCCAGGAAGGCCCCCCCCCCCAGAGGCCGAAGATGGCGAAGCGCCTCCCGTTGTGACCTTTCCATGCTGCGAGGGGGGGGGGTCCCGGGAAGGAGGCGAGCGGCGCGGTGGTGGTAGACCGCCTGGCCGTGTGGAGGCTGCACGAGGCCAGGGCGCTCTGCCTGGTGCAGCAGCTGCACGACGCCGTCGGGCGCCTGCCGCTGCAGGCCGCGCCCTGGCTGCAGCGCGCCCGCGAGTGCTTCGCTCAGCTGCGGGGGCACCTGGCGTCCCGCGGCCGCCGGGGCAGGAAGCGGCATCGACACCGCCGCGGCTGGACCTAGGCATCGGGTCGAGGTCGGCTCAGGGAGGGCACCCTGATGTTCTTCGTGCCTGCCGGGTGCTCTTGTACATCTGGGGGGAGGGCACCCTCGAATGTTCTTCAGTTTGGCTGGCGGGGTGTCTCACGTTCTTGAAGGATGCTCTTCTCTGCACGCACGAACTGGGTACAGAAAGAATGGGTACAGTGCCCAACAGCAGTTCCTGTTCATTTTGAACAGGACTCGCTGTCCGCGTGTCCATTTGAGACAGGAGGCCGCCTGCCCAACAGCGGCCGCTGTCGGTTTGGGACAACATTTGTTGTTGGGCATCGTACCCTTTTTTCCGTACCCATCTCGGGCGTCCAAGTCTGGCTGTACCCAGACATGCAACGTCCTGCACAGCTCGGGACGGAGGCGCTTCTCAGCTTTCGGCCTCCAGAGGCCCTCGCTTGGCCTTGGGTGGGACCGCCGTTGGCTGGCGGGGTGTCTCCTGCTCTTGAAGGATGCTCTTTCCGTCCCGGGTCCCGGACGTTTGGGCGTTGCGTAATGGGGGGGTCATAAATGGGGGGTTGGTGAGGGTGGTCCGAAAAGGTACCCAAACGGTACCTAAACGAGCCCCCTGGGGCTCTGGAGGGGCCCGAAAGGGGCACGAAAGAGGACCTTTTCTGACCCCCCCATTTGTGACCCCCCCATTAATAAAGCCACGCCCAAGACGTGCAGCGTCCTGCCCAGCTCGGGACGGAGGTGCTTCCGAGCCTTCGGCCTCCGGAGGCCCTCCCTGGGCCCTGGGGCCGTCGTTGGCCGGCGGAGTGCCTCATGTTCTTCAAGTAGGGGGCCACAGGCGAACCCTACCCCTACCCCCCACGATTTCGCTCGGGAGCTCTCGCACGGGAGCTCTCGAGCGGAGTGAACCCCACCCTCCCCCTTAGAAGTCGTGGGGGGTATGGGTAGGGTTCGCCTGTGGCCCCCTATGAAGGATGCTCTCCCGTCCCGGGTCCGGCCGTACCCAGACGCGCAGCGTCCTACACAGCTCGGGACGGAGGTGCTTCTTGGCTTTCGGCCTCCGGAGGCCCTTACTGGGCCTTGGGACCGTCGGGCAGCGGCCCAGGGTGACACTTGGAGTGGGACAGATCTCCTGCCCCGACACGTCGATGAAGGAATTTTGCCGTTTTCGGTTCGCGAGATGGCGTCGCGGCCGCCATTTTTGCGGGTCCAGGTCCGTCGGTCTCTGTCCCAGGCCGTTCTCACTAAGGGGAGGTTTACTAAAGGGAGGTTTGCCCACCGCCAAGAAACACCGGTTCTGAGGACAGGGTTGGGACTTCCAGGGACCGCGTATTGGAAAAGTCGGGGCATCGCATGTCTGGGTATCTTCCCCCCCTCGTGTTCGCCTTTTTGGGCCCCTGGGGAGGCGCTCGTCGCCACGGCTGGATTCGCCTCGAAATCTCGCTCAGAACGCACCCCGGGAGAGGTCCGAGGGGGTACGGTGGCGGCGCTGGTTAGGAAGTGTGAGCAGGAGGCTTTCGACCCCGGAGGATTCCTTCTTTGATGAGGGCGGTAGTGATATCCATGGCCAATGAACGATTGGAGTTCCACCAATTCCCAGACTCTGGATTTCTTGTCCAGTGGTTCGTTGTCCAATGCCCTCACCCCAGACCCCCGACGTCATTTTTTTTTAACAAAAAAAAAGTTTATTATTATATATATATATATATAACGTCGACCCTCAGAGGCCTCGACCCCTTCCACGGGACCGGCCTCTCATCCTGAGCCCTTGTTCGACGCTGCGGAGGCCCGGTGCGGGCCCCAAGCCTCCGTCGAGATTTTCCCATGGCTCCAGGGGTCTGGGACTGCAGGTCGGGGGCCACATGCGAACCCTACCCCTACCCCCCACCATTTCGGAGGGAAGGGAGGGTGGGGTTCCCTTCGCTCGGGAGCTCCCGAACGGAGTGACCCCCCCCCTCCCCCTGAGAAATCGTGGGGGGTAGGCGTAGGGCTCGCATGTGGCCCCCCTGGCAGCGGCACCGGCATCTTGGGGTCCCCCCATACGGGGCGTGAGAACGACCACAGCCACTGTTTTTCTTTTGTTGCCTCCTTCCAGCCCGCAGAAACAGAGCAGTGGTTGTGGTCATTCTCGTTGAGCTCGGCACCAGGGAGATGACCACAGCCACTGCTTCTGCTCCGGCCGGCTGGAAGGCGGCGCAGACAGAAAAGCAGTGGCCGTGTTCCCGTCACGCCCCCCCCCCTCCCCCCCCCCTCCTCGCCCCCCTCTCCCCCCCCCCTCCCCCTGAGAAATCGTGGGGTAGGCGTAGGGCTCGCACGTGGCCCCCCCCTGGCAGCGGCATCGGCATCTTGGGGTCCCCCCATACGGGGCGTGAGAACGACCACAGCCACTGTTTTTCTTTTGTTGCCTCCTTCCAGCCTGCAGAAACAGAGCAGTGGTTGTGGTCATTTCCGTTGAGCTCGGCACCAGGGAGACGACCACAGCCACTGCTTCTGCTCCGGCCGGCTGGAAGGCGGCGCAGACAGAGACAGCAGTGGCTGTGGCCATTTTCCCGTCACGCACCCCTCCCCCTGAGAAATCGTGGGGGGTAGGCGTAGGGCTCGCATGTGGCCCCCCAGGCATCGGCCCGGGGGGAGGAGGAGGGGGAGGAGGAGGAGGAGGAGGAGGAGGAGGAGGAGGAGGAGGAGGAGGAGGAGGGGGAGGAGGAGGGGGAGGGGCAGCGGCAGCGGCATCCTGGGGCCTCCCCCAGGCCTGGCCTGGGACCCGGACGCGCCGCGGCTGAAGCGGGCCCTGCTGCCCCTGACCGACTCGCTCACGGCGGGCGGCCTCCGGCCGCCGCTCACCGACGGCCCGCGGAGGGGGCAAAGCACGGAGCACACGGGCCGTCCGGGCTGCGCGCCGAGCTCTCGGCGTCACCCCAACATACTTATACTATATGTGCGTCGCCCCCCAGGGGCGACGCGCGCACCGAGAAATCTTATAGTATATGCGTCGCGGCGTGCGCTTTCTGGCCACACCGCTCGGGAAACGATATACTACAAGATGGGTATACTATATGTTCGGGTCGGACGCGCGCCTCCAAGGAGGACATCTAGTATTAGTATGCCTCTGTGCGTCCCAGAAGAGGTTGCACTGGCCGCAGAGGGTCTTTCATGATGCACCCCCTTCCCCCAAGCTCTCGGCGGGGAAGAGGACCTCGTCCCTCCTCCTCCTCCTCCTCCTCCTCCTCCTCCTCCTCCTCCTTCCCCTCCCTCCTCCTTCCCCTCCCTCCTCCTCCTCGCTGGGATGCTTGAGCAGTTCTCGTGACCTCTCACGCATCCGCCGACGAGAATAATGACTTTCCAACTATTGTCGGGGTCCCAATCCGTCAATAAGCCGGCGGACAAATGATTCATCATCCCATTATTGCCCGGGGGTTTATTAAAGACCCTTTGGGGTTACACTATCCTGGCGAAGGACACAGCCACATGCAGCTGTGAGTGTTGCCGTTCGGTGGTATGGCCTTCGGTGGATCTCTTTAGGGGGCCACGAAGCGTGTAAAGGGTGTGCCGAAATGGGGCGGGGACGCATGCGGGCGCAGCCACCGCCACTGGGATCTTCGGTGGAGCTCCCTATGGGACCACGAAGCGCGAAACTGGGTGGGGGAAACGCATGCGAACACCGCCACTGGGGCCTTCGGCGGAGCTCCCTCTGGGGCCCCGCAACGTTGTATCGCTTGGGGGGAACGCATGCGAACATCGCCAGCGAGATCTTCGGTGGAGCCTCCTTTGTGGAGCCGCGAAACGCTGTACTGGGTTGGGGAACGCATTCAATGCTGTCACTGGGGCCTTTGACGGAGCTCCCTATGGGGCCACGAAGCGCTGCACTGGGTGGGGGAAACGCATGTGAACACCGCCACGGGGGCCTTCGGTGGAGCTCCCTATGGGGCCACGAAGCATGGGAATCATACCACTGGGGCCTTCGGTGGAGATCCCTATGCGGCCACGAAAGGTGTGACACGAAACGCGTGAGGGGTGTGCCGAAATGAGCGGCTGGGACGCATGTGGACGCAGCCACTTGGGCCTTTGGTGGAGCTCCCAAGGGGGCCGCGAGAAAAAAAATATGTGCCAACATGGTGGACACGCGGATGACAGAGGCAAGGAGTGGTAGCAGGGAGAAGCGGGAGGAGGAAGGAGAAGAGGAGACGCGGGGCGCTGTCTTTACAAAACGAGGACCCAACATCATAGGATGGTTGGGAAAAACAAGCGACACCACCCCACCTACGGCCTGCAGCCCTCAATATTGCACTACGGCCCATCGGGTGCCGTAACGTATATCTTGCAAAAACCTACGCCAGATCTCTTGGTATACGCTAGGCCCCGTGGGGCAGCAGGTGGGGCAGTGTCGTCCCCACCGCTACCTTTTCCTCGCTTTCGCCCTTGTTGGGCCTACTGGAAGGCCCCCGTCGCCACCGCTGGATTCGCTTCGAGATCCTGTGCAGAGCGCACTCCCGGGAGAGGTCCAGGGAGTGGCGGTGTCGGCACCTTTTGGCTTCCCTTCTTCTGGCCCCGCCTCCCTATGGACCCCCTCGCGCCCCGACAAAAATGACAGCTGAAGCTCGCCGTGTTCGGCCTCTTCGGGGGCCTGCGCAGGGCCCCGAGACAGCCAGCAAAACTGCACGGCGCCGGGGGTCTCGGCCGCCTGGCCTCGTGGAGCTCGCCGGGGGTGGCGCGGGAGGCGCCGCGGCAGCGGCGGTCCAGCGCCGAGACAGGCGGAGCTCCGACAGCTCATGGGCTCGTGCCAGTGTGCTCTTCCTCCTCATCCTCACGTATTAGGATGCAACTCCTGGGAGGTCGAATTCAGATTCGGCGCTGGTATCTCCCTGGTCGGAAGCCTGCCTGATCTAGCTGATTCCCGCTGCTTTCCGTGCAATCCGTGTCAATCCGCCTGGCCCGGCTCAATCAATGGCTCCTCAAGCGGGCTCAGTAGCCTCCCAGCCGTATCCTTCTGACGACACCTTCCCAGGAGCCGCCTTCCAACATTGCCAACGAGACACCGCCAGAACCCCAGGCCCCATCTTTCTGCGGCACCCCTCAAGCCAGATCGATCGGCGACGGCCCCGGGGCCCGAAACGGAGCGAAAACGCTTGGTGGGGGAAATTGGCCACCCCAGGCATGCGATGTCTTGATTCATACTGGCATCGCTCGGACGTGTGCATTTTTTCTCGGCGAGGGCCGTCGAGGAGCATCCTTGATCACTTCGCGAAAAAACCACGCACGAAGCCGAAACAAAAACACAGGAAATGGACGTCCGAGCGATGGCCAGTCATTGGCTTACGCCACACCGCCGACCCCTGGGGGCGGCAGCAAGCGTCCCCCGCGTGGCCTGTTCGGACAGTCTGTGAGGCACCCCAAGACACGTTTTGGAGCCATCTTAGGACCGTCCTGCCGTTCCCCCGGGCCGTTGTTATGGTTTCTGGGGCCTTTTTGGGTCGCCCGGAGGCCGTCGTGGATCCTTTTGGAGAGTCTCTTGGGGTGCCAGAGGTCGATCTTGGAGGTTTACTGGGCTGTTGTGGGCCTCGTGGAAGCCCAAGAAGCGAATATGCTGAACATGTACGGTGTACCTGGGGAATGGGACGATGTTTGCTTCTGGAGGCCTGCTTGGAGCGCCTCGTGGTCGCGTATGCAAGCGTCTTGGACGCCCACCGGGCTGTCTGGGGGCAATCTTGGACGGTTTGGACTGAATCGTCCCCCGCGTGGGCCGTCCGGACAGCCTTTGGGAGCCCTCTTGACCGTCCTGCGGCTTACCTGGGCCGTTGCGATGGTTTCTGGAGCCTTCGTAGATCGCCTGGAAGCCGTCGTGGAGCCTTCTTGGAGAGTCTCTTGGGGTGCCAGAGGTCGATCTTGGAGATTTGCTGGGCCGTTGTGGGCCTCGTGAAAGCCCATGAAGCGAATATACTGAAAATGTACGTTTTACCTCGGGAATGGGACGGTTTTTGCTTGTGGAGGCCTTCTTGGAGCGCCTCGTGATCGCGTTTTCAAGAGTCTTGGACACCCATGGGGCCGTCTGGCGGCGATCTTGGGCGGTTCGGACCGAATCGTCCCCCGCGTGGGCCGTCCGGACAGCCTTTGGCGGCCTTCTTGCCCCTTTTTGGGGCCCTCTTGGGACCGTCCTGCGGCTTTCCTAAGCCATTGCTATGGTTTCTGGGGCCTTCGTGGATCGCCTGGACGCCGTCTTGGAGCCTTTTTGGGAGCCTCTTGGGCTGGCGAGGGTCGATCTTGGAGGCTTCTTGGGCCGTTTTGCAGCACGTGGAAGCCGAATGGGCGAATGTGGTGAAAATGTACGTTTTCCCAAGGGAATGGGACGATTTTTGCTTCTGGTGGGCCTCTTTGGGGCGCCTCGTAATATTTTTTCAATCGTCTTGGGGACTGATGGAGCCGTGTGGAGGCAATCTTCGGCGTTTGGGGCGATCTCTCGTCGATTCGTCGCTCTCTTGGACCGTTCCCGGAACCTTTGGATATTTTTTGGCCCGTCTTGGGGCTTCCTGCAGGGGCTCCAGGTGTGCGGATGCCCCCCCCCCCCCCTCCAAGCCGGCCAGGCCCCCGGGGGAGGGGTCTGGGGAGGGGGAAGCATCTCACACGCCGTGACCCCAAGGGGGCGGCGGATTTCGGAGGAGGAGGAGGAGGAGGAGGAGGAGCGCCCCAGCGGAGGAGGAGGAGGAGGAGGAGGAGGAGGAGGAGGAGGAGGAGGAGGAGGAGGAGGAGGAGGAGGAGGAGGAGGAGGAGGAGGAGGAGGAGGAGGAGGAGGAGGAGGAGCGCCCCAGCCTCCCCCCCGTGCAGGCCCGGAGTTCTTCCTCGAGCGGCTGGTGGGCGCGCTCGCCGCGGGCCGGCCCGGGCCCGCCCCGTGCGCGGCCGCCGCCGGGCTCCCCGAGCTGGCGGGCCTCCTGGCGTGCTCGCTCATCCGCAGGCGCCGCGCGCCGCCGGGGCCCGCCCTGCGCGGAGAGGCGTCCTCGGCGGCGAGCGTCAGGCAGTGGCGAAGCGTCCTGGCTCGCCCACGGCAGGTTCGCGTCGTGTCGACCAGCGGTGACCCCGCGGCGGGCGTTCAAGGCGGAACGCCGGCAGTGGTCCAGACTCGGCCTACATGGAACGATCGGGCGATCGGAAAGCCGCCGATCGTTCAAGGTTGCACGATCGACGCGGTGTCAGAAACCAACGCCAGGGTCGTCACGGCACGAACCTGCCGTATGGCCCTACCAAGCAATTCGGGAGCGAAAAAGAGGGGGGTGATGACTAGGGGGGGGATATCATGGCGGGGGCCATGATATTTCCCAGATTTCACGGCGCCTCTTCTTATTTCATTACGTCTTTGGCCCCCCCGCTGGGCCGCGCACATGCCGCCGGTCATGATTTGCGCCCCCCCTCTTGGACACCCCCCTCTTGGCCGCTCCCGAGAGAAGCGTCCTGGCTCGCCTATGGCCCTACCAAGCAATGCTCTAAGGACCTGTTGTGGTTTCCACGGGATGTTCTTCGAACTTTTCTGGCGGGGTCTGTCTTGCGTGTATCACATCGGGAAGCTGTTCTGAGAACATGTTTTGGGTTCTTCGAGCATTTTTGGGTTCTGAGAACATTTCGTGGTAGGACTATAGGAACGCCGGGACGGTCGGCCCCTGCTCAAGAACGAGGGTCGGAGGAGGAAAAGGTACCCATACCTCTACCTTTCGTTCGTTTTCTCCTTTTGGGGCCTCCTGGGAGGCCCTCGTCGCCGCCGCTGGGTTCGCCTCGAAATCCTGGTCAGAACGCACCCTGGGAGAGGTTTGGGGAGTAGCGGTATCGGTACTTCTGGGTCTCCCCAGGGGGTCCAGACCCCCTCTAGTCATGCAAAAACATGATAGGAGGTCGGTCGCTATTTTCGACATCTAGGGGCCCTCACCGGGCCTCGGGGACCATCAGGGAACGACATCCTAATGAAAAACCGGTCTCGGGGAATGGGTTGAGACCTCTGGGGGTCGACGTTATGAAACAACTCATGACGTCTGGGGTCTGGGAGCATGGGGTGGAAATGAGCAGGGGACAGTTTTTGTCAGAAGGCGACGGGACTTCTCAGAGACCCTCGCGCCTTCTGAGAAGTTTCTTGTGTGTTCGGGGATGGCTTCGAACACTTCTCAGAAGGATGGGGGACTTCAGAGCCTTCTGAGAAGGCCCGCCCCTTCTCACCTCCCCCCTGGGCTCGCCGCTGAGAAGAAAATGTGACCGACAGCGCGTCCGAACTTGTGACCGAGAACGTAGTGTTAAGTCGGGCTTGTCCCTCTACAGGGGGGAAATTCAAAAATAGTCAAAACATGGTCTGGAGACAATTTTTTGCTTATTTTTGACTATCTTGGAGTACTGTTTGCATTTTTTTATGTTTCGTCGAAAATTCCCCCTGTAGGGCGAGACGCCCGACTTAAGTGTGGTGTTGCCGAAGGTGCGGCCGAAGCTGAGAGTCGTGTT